GCTGACCCAATAATTCTCTCTGAAATAAAAATGACTAGGGATCAACAATCACATTTATCTTATATTGCTATTTTTATCATTATAGAAAAGTAACTAAAAAGAAGATGAGACTAACTACAATGGACTTTTAACCCCCTCTTGCCTCACAATCTATACAAACACTGCTGAAGGGAAGACGATAAAGGCACTAAGTGAGTGGTCAGAGACATTAAATGAGTCAGGAACTTTCTAGCACTTGCACCACATGAAACTTCAACACAGACATAGGCATCAAGTTCTCCAAGGGAGAAAGTGATTGCAAATGACAAAACACTAGTAGAACCGTTCAATAGCACATAACAGGATCAAAACCCTGGACTCACAGTATTTGGAACATATGGTAAGCCATAAAATTTCTCTTGTGTTTCCTTGAGAATGTCTGTGGTTGACATCTTCAGGGGATGCTTCCCATGGTAGATTTGATCCAGAGTAGCGTAAAAGACCTAGAGAGATGAAAACATCTATTTAGTTTGGGTACTCCATCCCCAGATTGAAGGTGTTATAAGTGCACCCGGATAATTATAAGTCGCAGGAGAAATAACTTACGAATATAAACGTGTATGGTGTGAGACGTAATTTGGACCACATGTAAGACCATGTTAAAAATGAAAAGGAATACTCTACATCATTTCATGATTAAGGACATTAGCAAATTTATCCATAAGGTCGTCTTTATGTACAATGTAGCAAATTAAATTTCTGACCACAAAACTGGAATATTGCCAATAAATAGTTAGAAATATGAAAAAACAGTTATAAGTGACACGTCCCTCCCCAACCCAGATCTAACCATTCCCATTCGGTTTTTTTCCTGGAATCCTGATACATCTTAAATGAGAGAAACAAAATGGTCTGAATACTAGTTTTATGATGAGAAGTGAAAGAATATTAAATAGGTAGGGTGAAGACAGAGATAGAGATAGTGATCTAGCACCCAGAGAGTGCAGATGTTACATGATTCTTAAGCAGCTGTTGGAGGGTTTGAGCTAGGGCCACGCTGGACCTCACACCTGGTGTCCGGAGGTACAAAGGAAGCAGGTGCTGTCTGGGGGCAACCTGGGCTCAATGAAGTGGTCAGGGAAGAAGGATCACTCACCCCTGAATAGAAGACACCCAGGCCATTGAAACATAACAGGAGAATAAAGCATGAAAGAGTCTGAACTGAGATCTGCTATTTACAAAGTAATAAGAGCAGGGCCAGTAGACAGCATAGCAGTTAAGCTGCTGGACTCACTCATGACCGACAGCAGTGCGAGTGCTGGACCTGGTGGCTTGAAAATCACATGTTTGCATGCCCAAGATCCCTGGTGTGGCCCTCCCTCCTCGGGGAGGGGGGTGATTTCTCTTTCCTCACTGTCTGTCTCTCTCCAGTGAGCACACACATGCACTAAGGCAAAAAACCTATTATAAATAAATAAATAATAAAATGCAATGGAAGCTACATTTTGCATAGAAAACCCTTATGATAAAGGATTTAGGATTCCTGCTTTTCGCTGAAACATTTGACTTGAACATTAATACTGTTCGGAGTCCACCCATTTCAAGAAAGTAGAAAATGCTTTATTTTAAAGGGAAAATTCTGACACGCAATTATGCTTCTGATATGCATCTTTCTGACTCAGAAATGGAATTTGCAGAGAATGTGCAGCTGTTAACTTGAAAGAAGTGAAGATTAGTTTGGATAAGAGAAAAAATTTAAATGACCTCTAGCTTCTGGCTTCATCTAGATATAGAATTATGGTTCTAAATTATAAAGTTAAGTTTAAGTCTCTCATGGAAAACTACAGACACTTCCTAAATATAAACATTGCTTTCCTCTAACTGGTAATCTAAACATATAGCTAAGTACAGCTCTTGCACATCTGTATTCCGAACTGAGTAACAATGCATAAAGTTAATCAGAGAAGCCAAAAGTACTCCTCCACGTCTTATCTTATCTAGATTCTAACGAATTATTAGGAATTGAAATGCTTACATTCTAACCTTAACTGAGGTGTTTTTCCCTCAATGAATAAACAAATGAGAATACAAGAGTTTTATTTCTTCGATTATGCCTTTTACAAATAATATAGACACTGGATAATTTTTTAAATTACAAAAAGAGAAAATTAAGTTAAATGTGCATTTATTTCATGCTTATTTGCTGATAAACCAAACAATTCAAGAATGATGAGCTTACTTCTGTACTCAGAGAATATACACACTTGGTCATGTGTGTATTCCCAGGACCAAGAAACTTAGAGCCAGAGAAAAATCAGTATTCCATTTTAAGATGATGAACTTTTTTAAAAAAAAGTCACAATTTTTAAAACACTGTTGCTACCCCCTTAGAAAGCTGAAACAACTCCTTTCCTTTCTACCCTTGCTCATTCCCACTGTACAGTGCGATAGGAAAGCTGGGCACCCACGCTCCTCTGGCAGGACTCTCTATCTCTTCTTTCTTAATCTTTTTAGAGGCTGGGAAGAGGGAAAGATTCCTTTTCCATTTTAAAAGAAAATCATTGGAACAACTTCATAAGAAGGCTACAACTGGGACCAGCAGTTGGTGTAAAGGCTATGTCACTGGACTCCCATGTAGTTGACCGCGGTTCGCATCTCGGACCCAGTAGCTTAAAACTCACGCCGGGCGCATGTGCATGCGTGCCCAAGATCCCAAGAGAATGGAGGAGAAGGGATAGTGGCGTGGCCATCCCCCATGGGGGGTGATTTCTCGCTTTCTGTCTCTCTCTGTCTGTTGGGCGAGCGCCCGCGCCCTATAGCGAAAACCTCTAAAAAAAAAAAAAAGTCACAACACAGATTTTTAAAAATGCAGTCTTTCTACTAACGATAACAGTAAATCGTAAGATTTCCATCAAGTGATGTTAATGTTTAGAAATAATTCAGAAACCCTTTTCAAATTATATTGAGAAGAACAGATACTGAATGCTGAATAATGTAAATCAACTGTAAATTCATGGTTTTGTGTATACTATGGATTTTCCACACTAAAATATGTATTTTTTTTTTTTTGGAGAGATTTTCACTGTAGGGCGTGTGCGCTCGCCAGACAGACAGAGAGAGACATAGAGACAAAAAGCGAGAAATCACCCCCCGGGGGGATGGTCACGCCACAATCCCTTCTCCTCCATTGTCCTCTCGGGATCTTGGGCACGCACGCACACACACCCGGCGTGAGTTTTAAGCCACCGGGTCCGGGACACGAACCGCGGTCGACTACGTGGGAGTCCAGCGACATAGCCATTACGCTAACTGCTGGTTCCCCTAAAATATATATTTTAAGAGACAACAAAAACAGAGATTATTCATTACTTCTAGGGACTGAATTTTACACACAACTACAAAGCAATTAAATAGTGATTACACTCTTAAATAGGTAAGTGGATCATTATAAAATGAATATTACCTTGATGAAAGATGGGTGTTTAGGCTGTGTTTTTTACATAACTTTCAAGATCCAATGAAGAAGAAGAGTTTCATAAACAAGTTCAGTAATTACAAATATCGTAATATCTGGTATCATGCAAACCTGGCATCCAGATGTTTCATGAGAGTTTTCTAGGTTTTAACCAGAAACCTGGGAAACTGGTTTTGAATATTATCTAAAACTGCCAACCATTACTGTTTACACTTCGTGTGTTTACACTTTCATTTGTGTAAAAATGCAAATCTTAAAAATATTTTATATAAAAGGAATAAACACGTATTTGATTGGGCTGGAGCCCTCATCTGTTTGCTGAAAACGTGTGACTTAAGAGTCACGTAGCTTTCCCGAGCTCTGATTTCCCCATCGGAAAATGGGAAATAACCTTATTTAACATTGACTTCATAAGGACACTGTGAGGACTGAATGAGTCAATTTTGGTTAAGTTCTTTGAACTCAGATGAAAGATGTTTTGGAAGCATAATTATTATAATAAATGTGTAGCACTGGCAAGGATGTAAAGTTATACATTCACTGGGATAATAACTCGGGACAACTTGAGAACGGAAGCACGTACGTACCTGGAGCTGCATATCAGCCGCAGCACAAACCTTTTTCGATTCACAAAGACGAGACACCATATTTTTTGGCAGTGGCTTCATAAAAATAAAAGAATAGATATGTGAGTAAACGGCTTAACCAGTTCCTGCCATATGTACACTTATGAGTCAGGAAATTTAAAAATGACATCGAGTGGAAAAATGAATAATAGAATTTCGTTATAGTAAAACGTAACAACTTTTAAATAGTTGAGTTGACAAGACAACAAGGATGAAGACATCCCATTTCATTTTAAAAAGTGGTCATTGTCAAATAAGGGTTTGTACATGAAAATACAGGATTACAGGGAACTAAGATGCTGGCACTGATTTCTAAGAATCTATTTAAAACCTCAAAGGGAATACTTTTTCTGGTCCTTCCTTACCAGTGAGTGCCTGTTCAAGTGCTCTCTTGACTTTTAAGTGCATATAATAACTGACAATGGGACTAAAAGATTAAAATGTCAAGAAATAAATTATAATTCTTGGTGCCAGCCAGCATTAAAGCTGAATTGATATCCTAACAAGCAAGCATGATGATGAGTGGCAGATCCTTTTATTTTCCAGCCTGAAAGAACTGCACGATTTAGACACTCAGCAAAATGTCCCTATACGATTTAAGGCTTTCTCTGTGAGACTAATTAGGGCTGATCCTGTAGCATACATACTCTCTTACAAATAAACTAATATAGTTGAAGAAATACATTGCCCGATCTTTCTGTACTTTAAAATAATACTGTTGTTTATTGAAGACAGTTTCTACTCTGTGCAACTCTGTTTACAATCTCAGTTCAACGAAAAGCCCCTCTGGCAGGTTATTCAGCACTGCAGTTGTACAAATTAACTCCGTGAACAAGCACATGGCGAGTTGCTTGATGGAAGAACTAGATACACCGACTATGTCCCCAGAGCCTAGAACACTGCTGGCACACTGCTGGCACACACTCAGTAAGGACTGGTTGAAGGAATAAATGAACACAGGTATAGTTGCTAGGAAATAGCTTCGTCAGTGAAAGATTACAATGAGATTGCTCAGATGGCAGATCTGTAGCCTTTTCTCTTCCCATCTGGCTATAAGAAAAGTGCTGCACCAGGTGATGGTACAGTAGGAAAGGGCCTGGGTTCACAACCCAGGGTTTGTGTAACATAAGCACATTGGAGCCCAAGATCTAGACTGGCTGAGACTGGGAGTGGGTCACAGCACGAAGACCCTGGTGGAGGTGTATGCTCATTCTTTCTCCCTCCCCATTCCAAGAAATAAATAAACTTAAAAATTAAAAGAATATAGAGGAAAGATGATTTTAAAGAATTAAGATGGACACTAAAAGAAGCTGTACAGTGTAATTCCTGGCATAGATTAAAGGCCTGAGGTTTTCTGGTGCTAGAGACATCTATCCTGTATGCAAGAAAAATGTCTTCGAACAAGATTTTTAAGAACTCAAGGTTTTGTAATCTGCCAATAGAGTATATTGAAGTGTTCTGATTTCATTAGATCCTATTTTAAATTATGTATTATGTTCACAGAATTTTTTTTTGAGTCTTATTTTTTTTTTTGCTATAGGGCGCGTTTGCTCACTAGACAGAGAGAGACATAGAGACAGAAAGCGAGAAATCACTCCCCAGGGGGGATAGCCACACCGCAATCCCTTCTCCTCCATTCTCCTTTCGGGATCTTGGGTACGCACGCACATGCGCCCGGTATGAGTTTAAGCCACCGGGTCCAGGACTCGAACTGCGGTCAACTACGTGGGAGTCCAGTGACATAGCCATTACGCTAACTGCTGGTCCCCAAAATTGTGCACTCGCCGAGAGAGACAAAGAGAGGGTGAGATGGACTCGATGCCGCAATCCTCCAGCTTCCATAGGTTTTTGCCATAGGGCAGGCGCCACCACACCCTTCACAGAATTTGTGCTACAGCTAAGAGATTTTTTTATGTTTCACAAAGTTTTTTTTTTTTTTTTAAGGAATTATTTACTTTATTTTAATTGTTATTACTATTTTTTAATTTGACCAGAGAGAGAGAAAAAGGAGAAGTGAGAAAGCAAGCCTTCAAGTCCGGGACTTGAACTGCAGTCGACCATTTGGGAGCCTGGCACCTTAGCCATTATGCCACCTGCTGGGCCGTACAAAATTTTCATACTTTGTAGGGTCAGTAGATGGCATAGTGGTTGGGATGCCAGACTCCCACGTAACTGTCCACGGTTCGAGTCTAGGACTTGGCAGCTTGCCTTCCTTTCTCTCTCTGCCTCTCTCTGGTATGCCGAAAAATAATAATAACAAATAAAATTAAATTAATTTTTTAAAAAAGTTTTCATACTTTAACAAACATGAAGACTATTATGGGAGAGCACTGTCAGGCAGGAGGGACACAAAAGGTGAACCAGAGACAGGGTACCTGCCCCCAAGAGCTTCCAGCGCCTGTAACTCAGGAGTGTTCAAACAGAAAAGTACTGCAGAATGGTAGGGGAGCTGTGACCTTAAAAGGCTTAATGGAGGGGACAGCAGGTGGCATGGTGGTTAAGGTGCTTGACTCCCACATGGCTGACCATGGTTCGAGTCCCAGACCTGGCAGCTTGCTTTCTCACTCTTCCTCTTTCTGTCTCTCTGTCTCCTTGTCTCTGTCTCTCTCTGGCCAAATTGAAAACCACTAAATAAATAAATAAATAAATGGCTTAATGGAGGACATTCCACAGACTCAAGATTTGCAAAATGAATATTAAGATATTAAGTAGACAGAGCAGTAGACAAGAGAAGGTACTTCCAGCAGAAGCAACGCACCTACAAAGGGCAGAAAAAAAAAAAAAAAAAAAAAGGCAGGCTGATGGCAGCAGGTAGAAGGGACAGAGGGAAAGATCTAGCCAGGTCTCCATCTTCATCTCTCTATGTAAGCCACTGGGAAGTTTTAAGTCAAGAAGCCACATAATCAGATTTGGGTTCTAAAAAGATTCCTCTGGTTATAGTAGGCACTGGGTAGGGAGGAAGGCAGGAGAGAATTAGGAAAACCCAGTGAGGAGGCTGTAGTAGCCTGCCCATGTCAGCATCCGGAGCCAGAGACAGTGCTGGCCACAGCAAGGTCAGAGAAGGCTAGAGACTAGTGGAAAGGGAGACAGCCAGTGGGCTCTGACGACTCTTAACTATTCTGGGTGGTGTGGCTGAAGAGTGCAGAAAGGGAGGGCAATGGAGGCAGTGGGAAGGGGGGGTGAGATTTTTGTTTAAAGTAAGGAAAAACTCCTGTTTAAGAATAAAAAACAGAGACCAGCAGTTAGCGTAAAGGCTATGTCACTGGATTCCCATGTAGTCGACCGCGGTTCAAGTCCCGGACCCAGTGGCTTAAACTCACGCCGAGCACATGTGCGTGCATGCCCAAGATCCCGAGAGGAGAATGAAGGAGAAGGGATTGCAGCGTGGCCATCCCCCCTGGGGGGGTGATTTCTCGCTTTCTGTCTCTCTGTCTCTCTCTGTCTGTCTGGCGAGCGCACGCGCCCTATAACAAAAACCTCTCCAAAAAAAATAAAAAATAAAAAGAATAAAAAACAATGCTGATGGTCATAAAGGGGACAAAAACTAAAGCTGCAGAAGAAACAAGACAAGAATGGGAGCATAAGGTAGGTTCTGAGAAGACAGAAAAGGAAGCCGTAAGAGATGACTTCTAGGTACAAGACTCTCCTCAATTTGAGGCGAGCTCTCGAGGTCAGAGAGGAAGTGGTTGGGAGGGAGCTAAGATTCCAAGAATTAAGGAGATTAGATATGGCTGGGAGTCTCGATGGAGAGAGACCAGTGATGGATGCTGGTCTGGCCTATTGTGTGCTCTAGCAGAACCGAGCTGCCTCCCTGCAGGCACAGATGAAGGCGGTGGAACACCCGACCTAGGTGGGTAAAGAGAGGAAGGCAGCGAAAGGTCAGTGGTGCTCTGCTGAAATGGGGGGTGCTGACTGACAGGGACAGGAGAAACAAGCAGTCCAGCCAACCCCAGTGCCCAGGACTATGGTCAGGCAACTTCAAAAGCTATTTATTGCTACTCCATAGATAGTTACAGTGAATGCTGAGTATGAGTATGAGGTCTAAGAGCCAAACCCAAAATACTCCCTTGTGTTTTGAGGTAGCTCACTTATTTAGAGGCCAATATCTTAAAGATTCAAACCTCCACATCTGATATATTGAAGAAACAGATAATACACCTAAGCTGACAGATAATGAATAAATATATATAAATAAGAGTACATTTAAAACACCTGAAACTTGAGTAATAATAATAATAATAATGCAATGACTTTCATTAAAGTAAAACTTTAGTAAAGTTTGTGGCATTAGAAATAATAATTCTTGCGACACATAAGCAGCTGCCACGTTTTCCCAGATTTTACTGCAATCTTCATAATTTCCAAGGCAGAAAAGACTCCCTTCCACTGATCTCTAAATTTCTTATCCAAGCTGTGACAATATAATTTCTCAGTTCTTCTTAGGGTCTAGACACAGTCACTTTTCTTTTTTGAGTACATTTATTGTATTCATGATAGCGTGTGTGACACATGTAAGAGAGACAGAGAGAGAGACGTACCCCAACAAGACCTGGTCAAGCTGTGATCCCCCCTTTTCCCAGCCTTCCAGCATGTCAGGATCTTGGGCCTGTTTCCTTAGTGTGTTTCAGATCAACAGAGCTGAAGATCTGAACCCACAGCTGCCCAGGTGGCTTACAACACCACAGTTCAGTACATTACGGAATGTGCCACAGTGTCTGCACCAGCTTTATTTAAGATGAAAAAGAATTCCATTAGCATGTGAGGAGCTATAAATCACATTAACTAATTATGGTAAAGAGCTGTCGTGGGACAAATGTCAGGACTGGAGAGCTTTTCTGGACTTTTCGGGTTATTTCCAGCTTTCTTAGTACCTGACCACTGAAATGGCTGGTTCTCATCATCTAATTAATCCAGAAATACTGTTTGTTCCATGAACCCTTCCTAGACTCATTACAGTAGAACTGAGAGCATAGCGTACCTTAAAACCAGTACCTGTCAGAATATGAAACACCCATTACTGTGCTTCACAGTAGCAT